GAGGAAATATTGGGACTACACATAAAGCCCCAACACAAAAATTGAGGAGGCTTTGTAAAGACTCGTGAAACGCACGGAGTTTGTGGCAGACTGATTTCTGCGGGGGAAAAGATAATGTTACACTGTCAAAAACAGCCCAGGGGGTTCAGTGGGTTCTGACATTCCTCCTTGCTTATCAGAGTTCACTGCAGAAGTCAGCTACGGCGCACACTGCTCCACGTGCAACCTCTCAGCCACACGAGGCCCTATCCTTTCCTTTTCTCTTGCTGTATCTCTTTTTCCTTTTCCCTGACCAGAGAAAGCTGTTCAAGTTGTAGATCTTTATAAAGTTCTGGAAAATGAAATCTTAAGGGTTGCCTTAGATGTCCCATCTAAATCCTTTCCTCTTGCTGACTTCAGCACTCACCCTAGCATTACCAAGCCTTTACTCACAGATGATGAGCAGTGTAGGCAGGTCAGCTGTTCCTCAGAGCCGATTCATAAGTACTGTTGGGTGTGAGTTTGTTGTTATTAATGAGAAATCAAAATGCCTGCTCTTCTCATCTGCTATATGCTACTGTGCTAAGTCTAGTAACTGTACTAAAAATATGGATTCAATAAATTATCTCTAAAGCATCTTTGATTCCATTTTCCCTAAATCCTTAAGCCTATTTTTTCCCCAAGAACATTTTTCGAACAGTATTTATAGTACAAAGGAAGTAGGTAAATAATAGGCCATCGATTACCAGATTTGTAGAGCCAGCAATATATCCTGGAAAAAGTTCCGGCTTTGGAGAAATACAGAGATGTTTCACTCCTGGCTCCGTAGTTTAGTAACTGTGTAACTGTATTAGATTCATACTTAACTCACGGAGTCTTTTGTTAGAAACACTGGATAAGAATATCTACCCTGCGGGTCTGTCACGAGACTGAGAGAGAAATACAAATATAAGAATACAAATGTATGGACAGAATTCAATAAATTGTAGTGAAACAATCATAAGTATTACGATTAATATGATTATAAAACACCAGATAGAATTTCTAAAGCACGCGAATGTACTGAACCAACGTGGGAGATATCGTTCCTCCAGCGTTATCAGCTGTATGCCCTGCTATCGGCCAAGCAGGGTGTTAAGTGTTGAAAATAAACCAGGGACCAAACTGACACGCCACTCGCTTTTTGTGAGGCTTATAAACTATTGGAATACAGACAAGTCAACGGACAACTGTGCAGAATGTGGAACAAGTGAACGATATCTGCCATCATGCAGTAGAAGATTTGGCTTTTTAGGGAAGGAGGAGAAAGCAGAGAGACCAGATAGCTCAGGAAACACTTCAGAGAGGGGTCAAAGATATGCAGAACAAAAACCAGGTGATCTGTGGACATCAAAGGTGGAGCGGCTCTGGCTCTGGGAACTGGCAAAGTCCAGGTGGTGAGAGCCAGAATCTGAGATGGGCGGAGCCAAGCAATGAGGGATCTTCCCGCTGAGGGAGTGCTGGGCCAGGCAAGCAGGGTGACTTCCCTCCCTCACAGAGCTTTGCTTGAGATGGAAATAGCCTCCTGATGCAGAGTGGTGGGGGTGGGAGTGTTTTTGCTGCTCTGGAAAGTGTCAGTTCAAGCCTGGATTGATTTTATAGTGAAGGATATATGTAAACAATGATGATAAAGGTAATAGGTTAATATTTCTAAGTATTTATGTCCCAGGTTCTGTTCTAAGGACTCCTCACATGTTAACTAATCTTCACAACAACTAAGAAAGAGATACTATCATCCCATTTTTAGAACCACCAACCTGCCAGTTAGCAGCCGAGTGCTTAACCACTGTGCCACCAGGGATCCTGGCTAACACAGGGAGGAAATAATAAAGTCAGCCTTCTAACTGGGCAGTCTGACCCCAGAGTCATCCTCTCAAACTCACACCACGCTGCCTCTCCTCTCTCACTTTTATTGAGTGCTTACTGCATACTCACCTGCTAAGCATGTAGCCTTCAAACCCTACAAACTCTTCTTTGGTTTGGTAAATGTAGGCAGAAGTTACAGGTTAATTTTTCTTTTTGTTTCCTATTTTCCCCTCACTGAGCATATTTTGGAGCCCTGGTGGTGCAGTGGCTAAGAGCTCAGCTGCTAACCAAAAGGTCAGCAGTTTGAATCCACCAGCCGCTCCTTGGAAACCTATGGAGCAGTTCTACTCTGTCCTATATAGGCTTCCTATGAGCCAAAATCAACTCGACGGCAATGGGCTTGGTTTTGGTTTGAGCATATTTTGAAGTGAGAAATTTCACATACGATACCAGATTGGTGATTTTTGATTAAAAAAAAAAGAAAGAAGAACACATGGCCACACTAAGCCTCTAACTCACCATCTGCCAACAACTGGTGGAGCTGAAGAGCAGCTGCCTCCTTACACAGCCACGACCCCTCCAATCCACCACAGTCCCTGCCACTCCCCAGTGCTCACATCTGACGGAACTTCTATCACCTGCCCAACCACTCTGGCTACTTGAGTATGAGACCCTTACTGTAAACATAACTATGGGGCATAAACAGGGAGACTCTGGAGCTTAAAAGCTTAGATCAGAAAGTCTGAGTTCAAATCCCAAGTCCCCCATTTATCAATTTTTTTCCTAGCACAAAGGAAATGTCCTTGGGCAAATTTTTAAATATATTTAAACTTCATTTTTCTCAAACCTAAACTAGGGATATTAAAAGTACAGGATTAGTGAAAAAGAGGAAGACCTTTAACAAAATGGCTGCAACATTAAGCTCAAATACAGCAACAATTGTGAGGATGGTACAGGACCAGGCAGTGTTTCGTTCTGTTGTACATAGGGTCGCTATGAGTCAGAATCAATTCCATAGCACCTAACAACGATAATAATAGTACTTAATTCAGACTGCTGTTATGAAATAATCAAATGAGATAATGCATGAAAATAATGTAGCTTGGTGTTCAATAATAATTTGTTATTGCTATTTTTATTGACAATATCTGGGAGTTAGTATAAATAGGTCACATACGTACCCACCTGGAGCAATAAGGACTTAAGTGTAGGTGAGAAGAACAGAAGAGCCTGTTTACTGCATTGGACAGGCTAGTGGCAGAGGGGAGGAGCCAGCTGAAGAAAAATACCTGCGGGACTTCAGATAGCATGTCTGCCAGACAGAACCACTGTCCAATGCCACTCCATAGAAAGGGTCAACAAGTTGGCTAGAACAAATCTAGATGTCTTTCAGAGATTTGGATTTGTAAGTGGACTTTCCTATGTAGAAGAAATGTTGTGTCATAGTGACATATTAATTTTTTTTTAATCTATAATTCTGCCCTTTTTTCCTGTCTTGAGGCATTGAATCCTTGATTTTTTTCTTCGCGTGCTTTCTCAATGCTTCATGATTTCCATTCTGTAGGGCCACCATCTCAATCCAGGCCCTCACGACCTCACCTATGAATCATATGATGATTTCTTAATTAGCCTCTTTGCCTTTAAACTGTGCCCAACTTTAGACCTGGAGATATGGGGCCACAGCACTAAGAGTTCTGGGTATAATTTACACATCACCATTGTTTTTAGGATTTTTGCCTGGGCTCCCCATTACCTGCAGAATCAAATCTAAATGTTCTAGCCCATCATTGGGGTCCCTATCTGATAACTGGGGTATTTATCTACACATCAGCCACTGACTACCCCAAAGTACAGGTAGTCCCCAACTTATGACGGTGTTCCATTCTTACTATTCCATCAAGTCAGTTCTGACATAAGTCTTTTTTTTTTAAGTTTTCATTATCATTGCCTTTCATTACCAGTATCTTTATAAATTCGACCTTTGCACATCTGCAAATGAGCATCTGAGAATGATAACATCAGCAAATTATGTGCTGTAACATTGTATGTAGTACGTATTACTAACGATCAGATACACCAAAAAAAAGAAAACAACAGACGGTTGTAAGTACGGTTGGTTGTCACTGGAATACGTCGTAAGCTGGAGACTACCTGTACTCTGTTCTTTTATGCCTCCTTGACTGTGCTCCTGCCAATGTCCTGACCAGACACCAGCTGTGCCCTACTCGCATTCTTACCCTCGTTGAATCTAGCCAAATCCTAGGCAACCATCACGTTGAAGCCATGAACCAATGTGCTCTATGTTTTAAATCAGTGGTTGGCAAACATCTCCTCTAAAGGGGAAGAAACAACTATTTTAGGCTTTGCAAGCCATGTGATCTGTGTTGCAACTGCTCTACTCACCTCTGCCCTTATAGCATGAAAGCAGCCAGAGACAGTTCGTAGAGAAATGGGTGTCACATATCCTGATAAAACTTTATTTATGGACACTGAAATTTAAATTTTAGATGCTTTTCATGGGTCATGCAATATTCTTCTTCTTTTGTTCCTTCAACCATGTAAAAGTGTGAAAGCCACTCATAGCTTATGGACTCTATAAAAACAGGCAGCAGGCCACATTCGGCCCGTGGGCTGTAGTTTGCTGACCCTTGTTTTACATGCATGCTGTCTGATGATCCACAGCTTTCTTTTTCACTTTTTATTCAAGTATAACTTACATTTAGCAACCTTGAATGTGTCGATCTTAAGTGGACAGTCTAATGAACTTGGATATAAATACACAAACTGTGTAACCACCCCACAGACCAAGGCATTGAACATTTCCAGTACTCTAGAAGGCTCCTTCATGATCTCTTATACTAAACACCTTCATCAAAAATCAACCACTTTGTTATAAAAGCAGTGTCTACACTTTTTTTCAATAAGTCTGGATTAAAGAGATAGGGTGAATGATCCTATGCTACCTAAACTTGAACACGAGTGGAAAGAAATCAAGAAGGCAAAGCTGTCTGTCTTTTAAAACGGAATTTCAGATACCATTAATTATCATGGTCATGCAGAAGAATGCCTTTTATTTCCAGTGATATGTGATCTATAATGAGAAGCATCAAAAGGCGATTCTAGAAACTCACATTCCTTCTCCTTGGCAGTCTCATGCTACCGTTGCTTTCCCTTACCTGGGCCAAGGTGAGCGTTGTTTGTTTGCAGGTGCTGCACTGCACCCTGAGTTTTCCTGGCTGCACTGCTTGACAGGGGCCTTTGCAATACACATAAAAGCTGTTGTAAGTTGGTCTACCTGCTGGGAGAAAAAGCAGAGGAAATATCCAATCAATGCTGCATCCAATTTGAGTCAAGATACTCTCTTTAAAGAATTTGATATAGGAAACATTAACTCCTCGGGTACATGTTGGAACATTAGTAGGGTAAATATTCCAGTGAGGATACAACAATTTAATTCAGAAAATCTAGTTTTATGCTCAGAAGAGTGAAAATCATCTCACCTTCTTGCCAACAGCCCTGTGACTTACTCAGCAAAGTAAGCAACCTGCTGCCGAGCAGGCTGGCCAAGTGCGTTTGCAGCTGAGCGAAATTCAATGCACCTTTGCTGGTGAAGTTTTAACAGAGGACAGGAAATTCAGAGCCTAGGGAAATTGAGAGTCCACTGCTCCTGAATTTGATTTCATGCTTCTGTACATTGTTTGGAACACTCTAGCTTTTTTCCTCTTAAATTCTTACCCATAGGGACAAAGCAGCCCACTCCTTGTGATATGGATGATAGGAACCCAGAATGCTGGATTTCCATGAAGACCTTCCAACACACAGTCACAGGCATACACCTAAACTGAGACAAGAGCCCCAAGGAGCTTAACAGACCAGGGACTGTGAGCAAAAATGGACACTCTGTATTTCATTAGTGTTCTCCCTAACCAGACAAATGCCATTCAGATAAAAAATGGTGGGGCAGTAGTTAAGAGCTTGGCTGCTAACCAAAAGGTCGGCAGCTTAAATCCACCAGCCACTCCTGAGAAACCCCATGGGGCAGTTCTACTCTATTCTATAGGGTTGCTATGAGTCAGAATCGACTCAACAGCAACAGGTTTGGTTTGGTTTATCTCAAGGGTAAAAACTGGACCAAAAAAAAATATATATATACATCCAATAATTCAACATTGCTGATCACGTCTTTCAAATGTCACAATACTACTCTGTAAAATTAGGAAAATCTTCCTGAATGGTTTCACACTGTTGCATCTGCAAAGAACAAACTTTATTTGGAAGCATTTGCCAATAAAATGACCCCCCTTCCCAAATTTCTAAACTTCTAAAATTACCACATAGTTCTTTTAATTCCTACTTTACTGTTGCTGGGTAGGGGTAACATAAAAGGTCATGGTATAAAAGTTCATTTTTAAATGTTACTATTATCATCAACACATCTAAAAATAACCAATAGGGAGGTGGAGCCAAGATGGCAGTGTAGTAAGACGCTTCCTATATCCCTCTTACAACAAAGACCTGGAATAACAAGTGATTTGATTATATGTGAATATCTAGGAGCCCTGAACAAGGCAAAGTTGAGGAGTCGGACTGAGGGGCAGGAGGAGAGGGAGACGGTTCGGAAGAAGCCAGCAGCACCAGAGCGCGGGCAGCGGGACGGCAACTCTTTAGCCACACCGGTAACTTCCCAGCGGGGCGGGTCTGCAGTGAAGCAGGCAAACAGCTGTGAGCACATTCGGAAAGCAGTTTCCACATCAAAAGAGATCTGGCAGCAGAGATTCTGCTTGGACACTCTGAACCAGTGAAAAGCAGCTTCCAAGAGGCTAAGATAAGTACATGCGTGCACCCTTTTGCGGGGATTTAAAAAAAAAAAAGCCCATTTGGGAAAAACCTCTCTCCCTTTTACCTCCTCCCTCCGCGCTCTGCCCCAGGAGTCCGCTGGGCCGGAAGTAGATCCCAAAAGGCACCATGACCCATTCTCCTGGCCTTGGAGAGGGAACAAATAATCTACTGGCTCCCCAAGCCAGGAACACAGGGTTGGCACAGCTCCTTTGCTAGGCACCGGTATCAGGGGTCTGCAGACTCTGAGTGCCTTACACCCCTGTATAGACTTGTGGGGACCCATCTCAACAGCATTAGTCCTCACTACCACAGTACAACAGAGCAAACATCTGAAGTCTATCTTCAACTGCTTCAGCTGTGAACTGGCAGATTTGTGACCCTCAAAAGAGCCCCGCCCCTTAAGTAGGCACTTTTATCGATCTGCAGCAGGGGCTTGAGGACTGGTGATATCACCTAAAGTGCCTAGTCACCTGCTACAGGAGTCCAAGAAAAAGTGGTGCCCTCGAGGCTTTACAGCCAACAGAGTGGGTGGGGTGCTCATAGTCCGGCTGCAAAACTCACCTACCTACTCACCCTAGAGAATAGGGACACGCTTTCCTTTCAGACTCTCAGGGGCAGCTGTCAGCCCCCTGCCTGGCTCAGCACACGATCCCCTACCACAGCCAGAGTCCAGTGCCTACACCAATCACCCATGCCTCTCTAGGACTGGGGGTGAAAGACTGCATCACACACTTGGTGACCGATTGCCTGAACACCCGAGCTGAACCCATACAGGAAAATTTAACAGACTCCTGTGTGCACATACTTAGTTACAGAACTAACTACCTGGTGACGGGACGTTAGAGATCCAAAGGTGTCAAAAATCAAACTAGTGCACATGAGCAGCCTATTTGGGCATATCAAAACAAAACAAAATAAGAAGCTAGGTCTCACTAAACCAATACAAAATAAAATTATAATAAAATATTGATAGCTTGGAGACAACAGTCAATATCAAGTCACATAAAGAGGCAGTCCATGATGGCTTCAGCAAGCTCCCAAAATAAAGAATCAATAAATTCTCTGAAGGAAGAGAACTTCTTGGAATTACCAGAGGCAGAATACAAAAGATTAATGTACACAACTCTTCTAGAAATTAGAAAGGAAATTCGACACAATGCAGAAACAGCCAGGGAACATACAGACAAAGTAGTAGCGGAACTTAAAAAAAAGTTAATCAAGAACATAATGCCAAATTTAATAGGCTGCAAGAATCCATAGAGAGACAGCAATCAGAAATCCAGAAAATTAACAATAAAATTTCAGAATTAGACAACCCAATAGAAAGTCATAGGAGCAGAATTAAGGCAGTAGAAGTTAGAATTAGTGACAATGAAGATAAAGCTCTTGACATCCACTTATTCGAGGAAAAATCAGATAAAAGAATTAAAAAGAATGAAGAAATTCTAAGAGTCATGTGGAACTCTATCAAGAGAAATAACCTACGAGTGACTGGAGTACCAGAACAGGGGGGATAACAGAAAATACAAAGAAAATTGTTGAACATTTGTTGACAGAAAACTTCCCTGATATCACAAAACATGAGAAGATATCTATCCAAGATGTTCATCAAACCCCACATAACGTAGATCCCAAAAGAAAGCCACAAAGACATATTATAATCAAACTTGCCAAAACCAAAGATAAAGAGAGAATTTTAAGAGCAGCTAGGGATAAAAGAAAACTCATCTACAAAGGAGAGTCAATTAGAATAAGCTCGGACTACTCCGCAGAAACCATGCAGGCTAGAAGGAAATAGTATGACATATATAAAACCTTGAAGGAAAATAACTGTCAGCCAAGAATTATATATCCAGCAAAACTGTCTCTCAAATATGACGGTGAAATTAGGGCATTTCCAGATAAACAGAAGTTCAGGGAATTTGCAAAAACCAAACCAAAATTACAAGAAATACTAAAGGGAGTCCTACGATTAGATAATCAATAACACCAGCTAACAACGCAAAACTAGAGCACAGGACAGAGCAACCAGATATTGACTCACATAAGGATATCAAAAATACATCAGAGCTAACACATTGAAAATAGGGAAACAGATATCAATATGTAAAAAATGATAATATTTAAACAAAAAAGAGGGACTTAAAAAATGGAGACATCGATTTTTTATATGGAGGGCAAGTTAAGGTGATATAAAGTATTAAAAGACAGGTATAAACTTAGAAAAATAGGGGTAAATATTAAGGTACCCACAATGGACTCTAACAATCCTACAAATCAAAATAAAAA